CGTCCGCGAAAGCAGCCAAGTTCTGCAGGGAGCCCAGCACCCTGCGGATCGACGGAGGGGGCCTTAGAGGGCGCCGGCCGGGGCGGGGCTGGGGGCGTGGGGGCGTGGAGGCCACTTGCCTGTACTTCAGGGGACTGTGGACATCGGTCTTGATGGACTGGACCGCGAACTCTGGCCGGTAGGAGCCGCACCACACCTGTGGGCAGACAAGGGGTGTGGCTGCGGGACTCTTGGGAGAGGAGGGTTGGGGGCTGGAGGAGAGGGGCGGGTCTCGGGGATGGACGAGGAATAAAGGACCTGAGCGATCGATCGAGGAGGGGGCGTGTGGTCTCCTTTCTAGGCACGAAGGAGTCCGCCAGCCTCAGGCTGCTGCGTCTTGTGTGGGGGGGGGAGGGAAGCCAGCAGGTTCTCCCCTCCTCCCCAGCGTTTTCCTCCGGGAACCCTTCCAGGCTGGTTATTTCTGGTTCTGCCGGGCTTGCACCCAAGGTACCCCGCGGTGGAGGCCCTCCAAAGATGTGAGTGGGGAGCCAGTTTGGGGGCAGGCGGGAAGGGGATTCACGGCTTCTACCTGGGCATAGTTGATGAAGAACAGCTGGTCGTAGGTCATATCCAGTCCTGGCAGCTGCCTGTCTTTGCCGCCTTCCGCTACCCACTTTAGGTAGGCCTGCGGGCAGCAAAGGGGTGCTGGCCTGCACCTGCCTTCCTCTCCGGGGCAGAATGGAGGGCCGGCTCCGAGGCCTGTGCCTGGTGGGGTCCTGCCCCCTTCGCTTAGGGCCCTTTGAGCGCCCGGGGCAGGGGCTCGCCACCTTGCTCAGTGGCCATCTAGGCGCCCGCACTGGCTGGGCTCCCTGCCCACGCAGCCTCCCCACATGGCGCCCACCTAGAATGGGCTCCTGATGCCCAGTGCCTGAGGCTGCAGGTGCAGGCGTGTGCGGCGACTGTCACTGTCTCGCTTGGAGCTGGACAGTGGCCTCCGTCAGTGTGGAGGGCTCAGCTCAGGTTGGGGTGCTGCCTGCCTATGGCCAAGCAGGCTCCCCGGGGCAGTGCTGCCTCCCAGTGCAAATAGCCAGGGGTCCCAGGATACGTCTTGGCTTGCACAGGGACCGGGGCAGTCCCTGCCATGCCGAGGCCCCCATCCCATCTCCTCGACCCACCTTGTATGCCTGCCGCACCCCTCCATTGTCAGCAATGTTCTCCCCAAGTGTGCTGAACCCGTTCACCTGCACACAGGAGACAGGATGGCGGGCAGCACCCCTCACCGGGGCTGGGTGGGGCGTGGCCTCGGACTGGGCGGGGCCCGGGTGGGGGGGGGCCTCGGGCGGGGCGGGGCCGGGGC